TTGTTGTTGTTGTTGTTGTTGTTGTTGTTGTTGTTGTTGTTGTTGTTGTTGTTGTTGTTGTTGTTGTTGTTGTTGTTGTTGTTGTTGTTGTTGTTGTTGTAAATCTTTCATGTCATGATTTTAGCTTTTAAAACAGGAAATAAACCTTTTCATGTGTAGGTATAAAAATTAAAATATAGGTGTTAGATATGTAAATACATTGGAATTGAGGTGGCATGTATGGAAATCTTCAAAGTTAAAATGGTGGTATTTTTAATGAGATATGAAAGATTTGGGTGTTATAAATGTAAGACATTAAAGTGTTGGATATGTAAATATGTAGAAATTGTGTAGACCTAATTGTAATTGCATAGAAAAATTTAAATTTTAGATATCATATAATTAGTACGTAAAGTATATTTTTAAAATTTATTACTAAAAACTGTTTAAAATATTTAAAATTAATATAATAAAAAACCAAATCAGAAACTATTAGGAGAATTGATGGAACTAAAAAAACAAATACCCAGTAAAATTAATTGTAAATACCTTTTTTTTTTTTTGGGGGGGAAAGCCAGCACTAGTGTGATTTTGTTAGTTATTATTAATAGAGTTCAATGTCCCATTGGAGAAATATTTGCGTGCGTAAGAGGCAGAGCTGCGTAAGTCTTATGGGGAGGTATTGGGGGTTATATTCGCGTTATACCACATGTAACCTCCTTGTAACTAGTAAGTTCTGTGCTTCTGCTTTCATATATTTCTAAGTTATAGGTAGGCTACAGGTATGTTACAGGGAGGTTACAAGGGATATAACTCTCAATATTCTTCATGTAACCTACTTGACATAAGCAACACTGTGTACGTCTTACGTACGCAAATATTTCTCGTCCCATTGGCAGCAGGTATCCATTGCCCATATTTGCATTTTAAAAAGTGGATGATTTTCATACATTCCCATACAATTTTATATATTTTAACACTTAAATTTTAATATTCATTTATATAATATTAAAATTTTAACATTTAAATATCTGGCTGATTCTAATTTTTTGAGGGATTTACAAACATACCACACGTTTACATGTAGTCACATGTCTAACATCTAAACTTGAAACATATTTACACGCATGAAACGTAAATCTTTTATATTACATGAAAATATTATTATTGCAAACTTTTTTGGAAATTAAATATACACCTATTCCCGTATAGGTTTATGACATAAATTTATTATAAATATAAATATTAAATCTTAAATATTACAAATATAACATATGAATTGTTTGATTTTTAACCTTCTCTAAATTTACGAAGATACAGCAAAATCTAAAATTTAAAAGAGATTTATGTAAATGCCACCCAAATCCTATGTATTTACACATCTAACACCTAAACTTTAATTTGTAAATTTATATATATATATATATATATATGCTAAACTTTTGATAAGAGATTTAAATGCATAGGATGAGGTTGTATGTATTTAAATGCCACTAAAAAATATCAAGATTTTATATAATAAATATATGAATACATGAAAAATTGCATTCTATAGAACGCAAAAGCACTAATGACTAAAACATGTGCAATTCTTCCATAAGCTCATTTGACACCATCCATTGCAAAAGAAACTAGTTTCATAAAATCATCAAAATTTGATAACCAAAAAATATGCCATTTTGATTCTAACTCAATCTTGAACTACAATTATATCAACTAATCAAAATAACACAACATAAAATAAATAATCAGAACTCAGTAATCTCCTCAATACTCCACCACGTGCAAAAGACTGTTAAAATGACCTAAATAATATACATGCACGCTCATCATTTTGCCCTCCGTATATGTTTACATCATACTAACAAAGACCATCACTTAACCCAACAAATCTTTAAACTGAGACATCACAATCGTCGAAACTTTTCATTGCCTCGAGAGTGGCGGCGGCGGTGTCGGCGAAGCCCAAACGACCCGCCGCCATCCGACATCTGAAAACCATGATAAGGATTAGCGGGAACGGAATAGAGAGGCATGTTGACCGCCAAATGTGGGGTCAACGATGGCGGAATCTGCAACGGTGATGAACCGTAGTTGTAGGGGGGCAAGACGCCAGCCATCGGCCCGTTCGCCTGAATGAACGGTGAAATATTTGCCGGTGGCATTAATGGAGGCATCAACGGAGGTATTGCTGGCGGCGATGATGGCGGCGGTGGCGGGTTGATGGAATCGGGATGAGGGAAAGGGGGAGGCGGTGGCTGTGATGACGGTGGAGTAGTAGGGAGATAGAGGGGGGGAACTCCATTCTCAACCTTGGGCCTCTTGGTGTGAGGAGAATAATCTTCGTTCTTAGATTGATTACCAATTATGCTTTCAGAAGCGAGGGATGAGAGGACATAACTGAGCATCTGAGCAGAGGAGGTGGAGGCGGTGAGCTTCGCCGCTACTTCAGCGGCGGCAGTTTTTTTTCGCTGTTCATCGTCGTTTTGGAGCGAGTTGTCACAAGGGATGGGAGCAGGTTGTTGCTGGGTGTATCTCACGGGTGCGGATTCGTGCTTATAATCGCTGGAAATGGCGGAGGTTTCGGCAGGGAAGGCGGCGGAAGTATCAGAAATAGGGACTGAAGGTTCATCGGGTTTCTCTTCAGGAAGTGGTTGAGATGTGTTACTATTATTCATGCTCTGTAGTTGTAGCAAGATATTGGATGATTGTTCATATCTGGATAAAACAACCTGTGAAATAAGGGAAATAGATGATTAATACAGAAAGTTGAGCACAGTGAAAGGAATATGTAAATTTTAAGGGGCATATACATACATACAATCCTATTATTATGTAATTACATATTTAATATCTAAACTTTACTTTTTTATATTTGTACCATTTAAATCTTTCATATTACATCAAAAATAAAGTTATTTTAACTTTTAAAAAGTGATGCATCTTTTCATGCGTAGGTAAGTGGGTATGTATGCAAAAGTTAAAAGTTTAGGAATGCAAATACATAGGAATTGAGTGGTATGTATGCAAATATCACTATTTTAAAAGAGATTTTGTTTTTTTTTTCCTAGTTTTAGAGGGGGGATAATTTTCTCTGCATTTATATGAAATGATAGTATATTTGGAAATACAAAATGTCTGCAGCCGCACTTATCGTTAGATAAAAACTGATGGTGCAATGCATGGGACAATTGTTGCTGCATTTGATTTGTTTGGAAGGGATTGCAAATTTACTAGAAAATTAAACTTGATATATTACAGTTTCCTCAAGAACATAAAAAAATATAGTTAAACATTAAAATACAAGTAAAAATTTGAACACAAAACTAATAAATAAAACAACATAAAATCGGTCATGATTTTAAGGGGAGAAAAAAGTGCTAGTAAAAGGTGCCAATCAAATTGCTTAATTTGAGAGAATTTATTCATTAATGTTATGAACGATTAAAAAAAAAGTCAGATAAAGCACGGAATATACTTATATATGCACAACTCTCAGTTTGTTAAACTTTTGGTGCATTCACATACATACCACGCAATTCATATGTATTTGCATATCTAACACCTAAACATTCATATTTAAATGCATAGAGCTACTTGAATTTTTTGATATCATATTAAAAATATCACTATTACTTACTTTTTAAAGGCGAAATACACATTTTCATGCATAGATTTGTAAGACCAACATTTTATAAGTGTGAGTACAAAAGTTTAAATGTTAGATATGTAAATGCATAAGAATTGTATACATGTAAATTCAGCTAAATCTTTTAAGCCTATTTCCCCATTTTTAAGGAATGTAGTTGATGAGGCTAGTGTAATGTAAAAAAAAACAAAGAAAAAAAATGTGAAATCAAACCAAAGGGAATAAGTTAACAGTATAACAAAATATTACTGTGAATTTCATGGTTGGATAGAAAACACATCAATACCACCCATAAAATAAGTTGACGGTATAACAACATAATAATGTGAATTTTTTGGCTCAAATTCTTCCTAATCAACTGATTTTTGTTTTCATACAAATTAATTTAAAAACAACAAACTGAATAAATAAAAGAAACATAAATATCATCATTTGACAAATTATAAGTTGTGTATGCGCCATGCACCCATGAAGACATGGATGTCTGTGAAAGATGAATTTCTCTTCTAAGCTGGTCTACGGAGCCCATTGGTTTCAAATACAGTTAATTTAAGAGTTTGAACGTTCCTCAAATTTACGAGAATCCTATCTACCTTATAAAACTAAAATGATAAGGGTTGGATGTTAATATTTTAGTAAACATAATAAATTCAAATCTACACAAATAGATTACATGAAGCATAAATAATTAGCATCATATATTCAAATTGTTAAATATCTTCACAATGAAATTTGCATAAATTGTTTATTAAAGTATGCAAAATGACAAGTATACTTACTGAATTTATGAAATTGATGAACACGTTATTTATGGATATTTAAAATAATTTTAGATAACTTGACGAGTATCTCATTCCTTAAAGTATGCAAATGACAAGTATATTTACTGAATTTATGAAATTGATGAACACGTTATTCATGGATATTAAAAATAATTTTAGATAACTTGACGAGTATCTCATTCCAACAATTGTGTAATATTTATATAATTTTAGAAGAGAATCTAATAAAAATTATATCAAATTAGAGAATACTAATTATATAATTATAATAATGCATAAAACAATAAGCAGAACAATAATTATAAAATAGTTCAATAGCTCTTGGATTGATGAGTAGGCAATAGTGATCTTATAAATCAATGATGTGGCAGCGAATGAGAAAGCAAAAAAGGATGAAAGTCTTAGTGAGTGCAGACCGGAATGAGTGAAAATATGCAAACATTTCACAGTCCCCTTTAAACGAATGAACGGATTTCATTAGTAGAATTCAAATATATATATTTTTCAACTTCTTTAGTATCTAATCTATTATAAAGATCACTAAAAACAGATTTTTTAGCATCACAGATTGTTCTCATAGACTCCTTACGTACCATTTTATATTTTTCTCACTTCTCTAAGCTTTTATATCTAAACTAATTTTTATAACAGAACTTCTTATATTTTATCTTTTCTTGCACATTATTATTCCACCACCAACTATTTTTATTTATAGAAACTTTTCCTTTTGATTCTCCAAATAATCTTTTGTCATCTGTTTAATAGTGTGTTTATTTATTTATCCCACATAGAATTTGTTTCTTCATGAACATCTAAAATCTTGAAATCTTGAAATCTTGAAGTTTATTCATAAAAATAATTTTATTTGTCTTTTAGATGCTCTCATCTAATTCTATGACAATGACTTCTAGTATTCTTTTTTTTACAACTTTTCATCTTAAAATCCATAAGTAATAATCATCGTTGAGTACTTAAATCCTTAGTTGGAATGACCTTACAATCTATACATTCTTGACGATCTCTTCTTCTCATAAGAAGCAAATCAATTTGTTTTTTATAAGCTTCATTATCATAAGTAATATTATGCTAATCTAATTATAAGTAATAATATGTTCATCTCTTTTCTTGAATAACATATTAGCAATAACAAAATCATATACTAAAGCAAAATATAATATAACCATACATTATTCATTAATCACTCCAAAATCGTAGCCACCATGAATATTTTTAAAATCTTCTACCACTCTACCGACATGTCCATTTAATTCTCCTCCAATAAAAATTTTCTTCAAGAGGAATCATTTGTATTAAGTATTCTAGGTAATTCCACAATTTTTTTAGAACCTATATCTAAACCTACTTGAGGAGCATAAGTACTTATAATAATAATATTAAAAATCTTAGTATCAACAATAGTCTTAAGGGTTATAATTATATTTCCAATGCTATAATTTTTACAATGTTATCTTTTAGACCTTTATACAACATCTTTCAATCCCTTATCTATGATTACACATACACTATTTATAGTGCAAATCTTACATGAATATCAAAGTTTAAAACCTAAGTTATCAATTTTCTTAGTTTTTTGTCTAACTCATTTAGCTTCTTGAATACATGAGATATTTATCTTTCTATAAATCATAATATCAACTAATTTCATTAATTTGCCTGTGAGAGTATCTTTATTCCAAGATTCTATCCTAGTATTAATTTCATAGACTAACTTCTTTATTCGCATTCATCCGTAATGTGAGAATCCTTGCTTATTTGACACTACACCCAGACGCTCGTATAGTGGCACTTGCACACTTTTCACTATATTCAAGTTATATGTGTTGCTTCCAGGGGACACCCTAGCATTTACATGATGATCAAAAGGATTCATGTCATAATTTTTTGACAAATGTTACGCTAGTTGTCAACTACCTAATGCAACCCTCCACGTTTCACATCTGAGGTTTGTGACTCGGCAATGACAATGTTATTAACAATATGTTACATCAATAACTTAAGCCATTTCTTTTATTTTATTTTAAAATGTAGAAATTAAATACCTCAGCTGTTGCATAGCACTAACTTTGTTTAACTTTCCTATAATTTTTTTTATGATTTTTTTCATCATGCAACAATTTCTTATTTTATGGAGTTAAAGCTAATAGTAAATTTATATATAATTTTTACTTCATGAGAAATTAAATAAAATTATAATTATATATATTTATTTCGTATTTATTTAATTTGTGTTCCTACTACATACTTTTTAAATTTTCAAATAAAACATTATAATGTCATGCCAAATACATATTCGCATTTTATATTTTCAATAATAGATATATCATGTGTAAGTGTCCTACCGTGTCTATATCCCTGTATTTGCATTGGTGCATCATAAAGTTCAATTCAGATAATAGCTCTATGTTCCTCTTCCCTTCAGAAAGGTGTGAGCCAATTATATTCATTTAAGGTAATTCTTCCTATTGATATGTTGAATGGATGCTTTATAATTCTTCCATTGGGTTCAGATTATCAGCCATAGTTCCAAAGGAACTTAAGAGGAAAGGAAAGTAAGCATCGTTGTTGACCATAGAAATAAAAACTATGGTAGTAATTGGTTTGCAAAGAAAGGACAAAAGCAAGACTGCATTTATGAAAAAAATTAGATGAAATAACTCAATGCAACAATGAAGGCGACAAGATTGCAACAATGCAATGATGAAGACTAATTAAAATAATACAAATAAAAATAAAAGCCTAAAGGATTGATACTATGACAAGATTGAGAAATTTTGTTGTGTTTCATCCCTACATTTTTTTTTAAGAATTTATACAATCCTAGGATATCTAGCAGAAGATAAACACAATCAGTGAATGAAATTAAAAACAAAATAACTATAATAGTCCCACAGATAAGTGCATATACAATATGAATCTCACAAATCATTAAGGGGGAAGCAAAGGGAAAGGGAAGAGAGCGTGAGATTGGTGCTGGTAGATCCCAGCTAGTGAAAATTTAAAGCGTGTTGTTCGCTGTTCCTAGCTGAAGTTGGAAGCCTTGCTGTCCCAGGTGACACCAGCAGGCGGGGGCCAAGAGATGAAACTTTATGGCGTTTGACAGTTAGCTTCATATGAGAGATCTATTATTGATTAAAACTGAATAGAATCATGATAATGAACCATCTAAGGTAGCAAATTAACTCTTCTGCTATCCGTTGGTTTCCATTCAAATTTTTGAAGGCTTATGATTTGCATTATGGTAATTGCATCTTTATGAAGAATTTCTCAATATTACATATTT